AATAATTGTGTTTCTAGAACAACTGAATTTCCAAACCATGACTTAAGAAATTGTTGGCTGCGTGAGTTTGTTACTTGTTTGGTTCAATTATATATGCATAATCCATATTTATTGTTTAGTTCAATTCCAACCAAATTAATCAAGGTATCGATTTGATAACTACAAAGTTTTAAATCCAACTTCGACTTTTAGTGAGAACGGTCCATTAACTTTATTGGTTTGAGTGATTAATTATAAATAATGTATAATAGTTTTACATCATTGTGGTCATTTGTGACAAGTTATACCATAGGTCATGATGTACCTTACATTGTAGATCCTTGTTCAAAATTAACCTTCAGATTATGTGCATACAGTTAAATACTTAAATGTTTATGCATTTGCAAACAAATTGAAAGCATATCAAATAGTAATTACAGATACATAAACTTAACTGTAAACACAAAATATGTTATTTATTCAATACACATTCTTGAAAACTTGAACAATGACTATAGTTTCTTTCGTTATTAAACACACACCAAAAAAAAAAATATTTTTACTTTTGAAACTATATTATTGATTAGAGATAAAGACCTGCAAAAAAAAAAAAAAAAGTTCATATAAAAAAACACACACATTTGTAGATAATAACAGCTTTAAACTGGGCCATATCGGGGAGAAAATGGTCATGTATCTTTTTTATCAACTTTAGTAATAGTATGCTCCAACCTAACAAAGTGGACCATGTGTCCAAGCCCATTTGATAGTGACTGCATGAGGGGACTTCACGACAAATTATTATATGAATCCGAGTCCACATTACAGTGTGAATTTGAGTAAGAAAAAAAATACATAATTTACATATTGAATGTTCACAATTTATATATTGAATGCTCACAATTTACATAATGAATTATCACAATTTACATACTAAATGTTCACAAATCAAATTGTGAGCATTTAGTATGTAAATTGTGAACATTCAATATGTAAATTGTTTATTTTTGACTTGAATTCACTTTGAGTTTATAGTACGACTATCGGGACTTCACTCATCCGATCATTAATTTATAGATCATGATCCATATAATCGTGTGAACCATAAATAAAGAATATATTTTAACGTATTAAAAATATATTAGCTGGTATATTGAAAGTATTACAAATAGCATACATTCAATATGCAAATAATATATTAAAATATACATTGTATTCATGGTCTAAGCAAATTTTGCCTCAGTCGTCATGATCTTTACAATATTAATATTTAATTAAATCATTTAATAAATTTATTAAATCGTAAAATAAATTCTATGATGGCACACGCAACAAAATTACATATTCCGTGTATCAATTGCTTTATGGTGATGTTACTTGTCCAATAATGCTAACAATAGGCCTAGTATTTGTCCAACTATCTTAATTTTTTTATTTTGAAGAAATGTCCAATTATATTTCTAAACGGTTACTCAAGTTTAGTTGCACGAAAAATGTATTGATCGTGTTGATTAAGCATACAATAACCAAACTAACTTATACTTGTAACACTATTGACATAGTTTGAAACACTATAACGGGCCGTTTGGTTCACGGAATGAATTTAGAGGGAATAGGAATGCTATTCCATAAGGAATAGAATAAGTACGGAATATAATAGAAATTGTATTTTATTGTTTGGTTCGCGGAAGGAATAGACTTTAAGAATTGTATTCTAACGTTTGGTTGGTTAATGAATAGAAATGGAATATATGTTTAAAAGACATATATGCCCTTAATAATAATAATAATAATAATAATAATAATAATAATAATAATAATAATGTATTCTAAAACATCCACTTCTCACCCTCCTCAAATCTCTCACCAAATTACCAAACCCACCGTCTCACATCTCTCACCATCTCTCACAATTTCCACTTCTCACCATCCGATGCCGCAAAGAACAAGGACGGTAGAGAAACAGATCCGCCACCATCGCCGGCGAGAGCCAGCAGATCGGCATTATCATCGCCGGCGAGAGCCAGCAGATCTGGGGAGACCAAGGTTGCAAACTCTGATCTGATCATCTTCCTCGCCTCTTTGACGCAGAGGTTTCACGCTTTCTAGCTCAGCGAATCAGTCTGCATCGTTGGAGGATTTCCCGGCGACTGAGCCACTACATAGACAATCGGAGACCATCAATGGTGTTGGTGGAAGGATTTGTAAATGGGCAGAAGAATGGGATTTATAATGAGTTGATGGCAGTAACATTATGTTTGATTTCTGTTCTGGCAGTAAGCTAAAATGAGTGGTTTGTCGGTAACAGTCTGATGTTGGGCAGGGTGATGGTGATTAAATAGAATTGGTGCGGGTGGAAATTATGGAATTGTTGCAGCAGTGCTGCAATTTAATTGAGTCACTGGAAGTTAGAGTAAATGGATTCTGGCTTTGTTGATTTGATTTTCCCTTGTTTTGCATATTGTTTGGTAATTGTTGATGTGCCCAGTTTGTAATTGTTGTAAAGGGGGTGGATTGCTTGATTAGTGGTGCTGATGATATTCTGTTGCAATTTAGGACAACATCATGCTACCTTGATCTGCATCCCTGCATTTGTTTTAATGAGATTCAGCTTGAGAAGAATATCTTTTGTTTGAAGCTTGAAGAAGAATTCCAATCTAATGCAAATGACAAAAGAGATGAGAAGACAAACAGAAAGAGATAGCATACAAGTTTTTAAATTAAACAAGGATAAAATTGGAAATAAAATATAAAAGCTATTCCTGAGAACTCAGGAATAGCCTAATACCAGGGGGGGAATCTCTATTCCCCTTGTAAGGGGAATAGGTCGTTCCCAGGAAAAATGTTTCCGGGAATAGAAATTTCTACCAAACACCGGAACACCGGAATAGGCCTATTACTGGGAATGCTATTCCATTCCAGGTCTATTCCGTGAACCAAACGGGCCGTAAATGTTTGAGTACCTAATTAACCACAATAATAATTATACTTGGCTCAATAATAAAAATATACTTGACATAGCTTGAAACACTGCAAATGTTTGAGGACATAATTGACCACAATAATAATTATATTTGGCTCAATAATAAAAATATACTTTACATCTTATGTTTAGCGTTAGGAGAACATGAACAACTTGCTAGGTAACGAAATTAAGATTATGATTATCTGGAAACCTTCAACCGAGCATAGTAGACGTTCAAGGTTGATGGGAGCGCCAAACACTTCGAATGGAATGCGGGTTACAAAAGGGTTATTATAAGTGTAGATGGTGTGAGTGGCAGGAATGTTTCACAAGCAAGAGGTATTATATGGATGCCTCGACCGTGGAAGCTCGGGTCATTGCCAAGGACATGGAATGGGTTTGGGAGAAGGGTATTCGTGATATCATATCGAAATTCAATCAGATGTTAAGGACCTTATCAATTGGATTCACGAACTAGTCATGCTCAAAGTCCCACAAGGTAGAGGGATGGCTTGACAAAGACTGGAAGGTCTTCATACGGGGGCTGTCACGAGCAAAACAAGGTCGCAAAGCAAACATGATGACAACCTTAGGTGCTCGCTAAAGGATTGAATGGGAAGAGTTTGTTGCCTTTCCTCTGGGATTGAAGAGATTGTATATAAAGATAAAATACGAGTCAAAAGCATTTGTAGAGTAAGAGAGAATGCCTAATTATCAAAATAAAACTAGATAAATTATGTGACTCTAATCACATGAACACGCGCGTGATTCCAACCTCCTTCCTAATTTTTACAGAGTACTTTTTTGTTTTACAGAGTGGCCATGTTTGGTAAAATGGTTGTTAGCTGATAACTGTTAGCTGTTGGCTGATTGTGTTAATTAGAGGGTATAAATAGTTGATAACATTAGCTGATTGTAGAAAAGTGTTTGGTAAATTAGCTGTTAGCTGATAGCTGTTTGGTATAATTTATTTTCTCAAAAAGCTAATTGAAAAAGTTGCTTATAGTAACTTTTTAAATTTTAGCCTTTGGAGTTGCAAAAAGCTAATTAACCAAACATTTCTATTGATATTTTAACTAAATCAAACAATTAATAGTGGTCAAGTAAGCCAAAATTGACCTATAGACCAATTTTTTACCAAACAGGGCCAGTATGTTTTTCTTTCTCTCCCTATTTCTTTCTTCTTTTATTTTTGTTTTTCATCTTTTTCTCTTTTATGATTTTACAATTTTTTGGTTAAAAAAAAATTGTTTTTACATTTTTTTTTGGGAAAATGGCACTTTTTCCCCCTTAGTTATATACTTATAGCACTTTTTCCCCTTGAATTTTTCAAGTGGCTCTTTTTCCCCCTGAAATGTTAGATGGACATATTTACCCTTAAAATAAATATTTCATTTATTTTTCTTCTCTAACAAATTATGACCACGATTCGGTTCAAACTGAACAGACACTATAACAACTAAACTGAAATATTCCAATTACAATTTAGAATCAAAACTTGATATTTAGAGTTTATTAAAATCGCGAACCGGAATGGCCGGTTCATGTTCCGAACTGAAAAAAATAAATACATTTATTGTTGAATTTAGAGTATTTTAAAATAAAAATAAAATGTTAAAATAAAGACGATTCAAAATCGCCAACCGGATCCGGAACCACCGGTTCACGGTTCAGAATCCAATTTTTTTTATTCGTAATTTTAATGAATTGAAATCTAAATATTGGATTCTGGATCTGAATCATAACCGGAAACTTTCAATTCGATTGTTATAGGGTCCGGTTCAGTTCGAATTGAACCGTGGTCATCCCTACGTATAAGCAATAATTTGTTGAAGAATAAAAATAAATAAAATGTTTACTTTAAGGGTAGGAATGTCAATTTAATATATTAAGGGTGAAAATGACCACTTTTAGAATAATTGAGGGGGCTAATGTGCTTACATAAACAACTCAAGGAGAAAAAGTGATATAAGTATATAACTCAGGGGGAAAAAGTGCCATTTTCCCCTTTTTTTTTTTTAATAAAGGAAGGCGGCCTCCATTCCCGACAACAGCAGTCAACCTATTCATCTAATTTATTCACAGAAAATTTACCAAACTCCATTTTAATAAGCTCAACAGCACTAATACATTTGCAAGATTTATATGCGTACATACATGGAGAATGATTTCATGATCCATTCAGCGAAAAGAATTCTCTGATTCACTGAGAATCAATGGCTAAAAATCCCACTCCGACTCATTCTGATTCGAATATCTGTCTCTATCTATTCTTCACTCTGTACTGTGTTGTTTGTGGGTGCTGTCTGTCGTACGGACAAGTACAAGGTGATGCTGTCGGTCGGTACAACGCCGTCACTCTGTCCAGCTTCACATATGCAAGGACTGCGCTCAAACCTTATGATTGGCGTTATATCAGAGGTGCCCAATTAAGCTATTTCCCTACTCTCTTCATTTAATTAGTTAAATTGTCTACCTTATTTCCTTTTTTTTTTTTTTATTTTTTATTTTTTACTTCTGTGGTTTTGGGAATTTTTGTGGCTTTTCTGAGGTTTATGAATTCTCAGGTTCTATGGGTTGAGGTCAAAATTTAATCTTTTTGGCTGCTGTAATGGGTGCGATGATTATAAATTACAGATTGAATAATAAAAGACTTGATTTTTATTCTATTTTATTTGTTTAATGAAGTCTTTGATTTTTGTTTTTAACTGAAATTTTCTAAAAATTTGCACTATCCTAGTGATGGAAGAATTATGTTTTTAACTGTGTTGTTTATGATCCTAGTACTCTATTATGTTTGTAGTGTCAGAAATTTTAAGACTCATAGGCATGTAGTTTTTATTGTCCTTGGGGTATGAATGATGCATTGAGTTATTGCTTAGAATCATAGATATAATCATTATATTATAACTTTTATTTGTCTAATGATTTTGCATTACAAACTACTTTCATAACTTTTGGTTTCATCTCTTTGCTCTGTGAACTGTCAGTGATTGGCAGTGGCATGCTTAGCACTTCATTTGCATTATGTTGATGACTTTTTTAATGCATAACCAGTTTGGAGGCTCTTGTTTTTATGGTTGTAATATATGAAGCCCTTTTTTTTGAAAGCTACTGACTCTATTACATTGTAGTATCTGTTCATCTATACTTTCTCAACCATATTTGAAGCCCTTTAATTAGAAAAAAGCATCAAATTTTTTCTTGAATGCTTTTAGTGTAGAAGTCATAGCATATTTTATCGACATTGCTAAACTTATGGTCTTGGGAGGCGGCAATAAGGACTAATATTTGTTTATTTGTTTGTTTCAGTGGATTTGCCTCCGTGGTTCTCTTCACTAGACATAAGTCTAGATTCAGATGTCGATATTGTAAGTATGCACTTTGAAATCTCCTTTTATCATTTTCTTCATTATTGCACATTATGGTCGTATTTTGGATTAGTATTCTTCTTCCTTTTCCATTACATGATTTTTATTGCTTGCAGGACCTCAAGAAGATTAGAAAGTCACCTAAAAGTACCATGCCAATTATTTGCTTCCGAGAAGGAAGCCCTCCTCTGCCTGATGTCTATAACATTTCTGCTACAGGGCTAGGTAAAAACTACATGCACTTTGTAAACTTAAGTTGGTTCATCGAGAATATCATTTTTATCACTTCACCTTCTATTCGCCTTCCGGTGTACCTCAGGGCTGTAAGTACACTGGTTAGTAGAATGACTTGGGGACTAACAATTTTACTGCAATTCTTCTGCAGTGTTAGACTATGTCTCCAATGGCTCCTTTGTACAAGATCTCCAACTTGTTGAGAAGTGCTATCCGATGCAGAAGACTATATTTTTGAAATTAACAAATGAGCAGGTCTATTTTGATCTTCATTCTTACGTGTACTTATCAATAAAATAAAATTAATTGGCTGAACTGAAATATTTTTCCACAGATACCTTCCGGTGTATGGTATATTGGCCTATTTAATGGTGTTGGACCTATGAGGACGCAGTCAAAAATGGTAATCCTTTCTGGCACTGGATTACAAGTCATGTTTTAGTATATTCCTTATATTAATAATTTAGGAAACATCATTGGAATATTTAAGAACTGAATCAATAAATTAATTAGAAGTTCAAATTTTGATATGGATCAATGTTGCTCTACTCTTTCATGAAAACATTATGGGATCACAAATCTTGTTATAGCTTGTTTTCGTAATTTCTCTTGACTTTTTTTTTTTTAATTTATAAAATGACCAAAATGAAATTTCTTGAAAACCAAGTACTTTAACCATGAAAGCGTTTACTCTTCCTGATTACAGATTAATCGAGGTTCAGCATATTCTTTCAGTGGGAATATAACTGTGGAAGGTTGTACGACTTCAGCCATCTCTGGACAATTCTGCAATCAGTCCGTTACTTCGCTTTCTTGCCTGGATGGCTATAGCCTGCCTGAAATTGGTTTAAATGGATCTTCCAACCAATCGACGGGAAATGTGATGTCATGCAAAGTTGAAGACAGTTGTCATGGATATAGGGAGTCCAATGTCTACTCATTTGATATTTTGGGTATCACCGAAAGGGTGATTCTTACTGCATCAAATGTTAGATTCAATCAGTCACAGTCTTCAAACAGCACAAAAAATGGCGGCCATATACCTCTGATGATTTATGTTCGATATAGGGCAATGCCACTGACAACACTGCATGATTATTCTGGGGACATAACTGATGCCCCTTTGGTAATGCTCTCACCCAAGATTGGTCGTTGGTATATTATTGTTCAACCAACAAATGTGTCAGAAATGGTCGATGCGGATAAAGAAGTTTGTTATTCGTTACAATCACAAATACTTCAGTGTCCAGTCGGTAAGGCTGGATTGAACTGTACCTGGGAAAGGTACATGCTTCAGGTTGAGTTATAATGACTATCATCTTTTCTTCTTCTTCTTCTTCTTCGTTTTTTTTTTTTTTTTTTTTTTTTTTTTGGGTGCTTTAGAATCTTTTGGTGAGTTATGGTGAAATTGCTTATCTGCAGACTGTTTTGAGGAAAAATCCAACTGTGCCCTTTGAATCATATTATCTACCAATCAGTGACAAAGTATCATCGGATTCTGCTAATTTCCCATTGGAACCTCTATTGACCAACACTTCCAATGGAGGAAACAACGATGTTGTTTGGACCTTTTTCCTCATAGACATCCCCTTTGGTGCTACTGGTGGAAATATTCACATTCGTCTTTCATCAGACTCAAATGTTGGATATGAAATATATGCGAAAAACGGTGGACTGCCTACTATCAATAGCTGGGATTACTTCTATGCAAACAGCACAAGCAACAGCAATGGCTCCATGTTTTTTAAGCTGTATGATACAAGTGATAAGAAAGTGAGTTTTTACATCTTATATGCGATTGGAGGAACTTGGAGTTTTGGGTTGAGGCATACAAACCCAAGTAAACTTAACTCGATGGACCAAACTATCATGTCAATCTCACTAGAGAGGTGCCCTCAAAAATGCTCTTCTCATGGAACATGCCAATCTCTCGTGGATGCCAGTGGGCTAACATTATACAGGTATATAATCACCTACTGCTCAAAACTTCATTCTTTACTCTTAATCCTTCTTACGCTGTTACAGTATCTATGCTTCAGTTTCTGTGCTTGTGATCGGAATCATGGAGGCTTTGACTGTAGTGTTGAACTTGTCTCTCATTTAGGTGAGTCTATGTTTTCCATAGCATCTCTAGTTCTTGTTTGCTTGTTTACACTTAATGATTGCCAATTTTTTATTTTTTATTTTAAATTTAAATTCTTTGGATTATGGGCATGGAGTGTTGGAGAATATCACTCGCTTGATGCATCTCAAGGCCAGTTCCGGATAATTATCAAAAGGCTTTCTGGAATGGGTTTGTTATAATCTAAGATTGGGTATTTGGGTCAGGGTCACTCAATTGGGCTATAATGCACATGGGCCAAACCACACTAAAAGACTGAGTCCAATCAATTAACTAGTCTATCCTTATAAACCTATATTTTCTCTCTTATTTTATCGATGCGAGACTCTTAACAGGGTTAAAGGGTGTTTTAGGAGGAGGAGGAAGGTTTGGGGGTCGGGATGGGCTACCAGTGTTGATAAAGAGGCTAGGCGCCCGATTTTTTTTAATTTTTTTTAAAAAAATTTTTAGGGGGTTATTCGTCAAAAAAAAAAAAAGAAAAAAAAAAGGGGTTCGGCCGCCTAGACCACCCGGCCGCAGAGGAGGCCAATTTCGGCGTTCCTCGACACGGCCGGGCGCCGCTTAGAATCGGCGCCTAGGCGCGATTTTTGCAACCATGTGGGCTACCCACAGTACTCAGTAAAATTAATGACACTAGAAATGTAGTATCGTAGTTTACTAGTCTCTTAGTCTTCTGCATGCAGTTTGTTGTGTGGTGCTCTGGCGTGTTTGACTACTTAAATACAGAAAGTTCAGATTGTAATTTATCATTCAATCACGATTGCAATAGTTAGCTCATCGTTCAAGACATATCTTCTTTTTTACACAGACCTCTACTTTCTGATCTTTTTGAAATTTATTTTTTGCATATTTATTGTTAATATGCTCTTGAGTGTCTTATTCATAGTTAACGTCATGCTCTATAACGGGTCTTTTAAAGGAAACATGCTGAAACGTGTAGGGCACATGTGGCAATCAATTTCTCTCATTGCATCAAATGCTGCAGCCTTGCTTCCTGCTTATTGGTCTCTTCGTCGTAAGGTGATATTGGCTAACCAGTAATCACCTTAACATTGTTTATTTCCCCTTGTTATTCCAAAATTTTCTATCGGGATATATCCTTCAATGGTTGAAACACAGTGGTGTCATCCTCTTTGGTTTTCGGTGCTTTTCTCTGCAGGCATTTGCTGAATGGGTTCTTTTCACATCAAGCGGAATCTCAAGCGGTTTGTATCATGCGTGCGATGTGGGCACATGGTGTGCATTAACTTTTCACGTCTTACAGGTATCACATTGTTTTGTTTTTTTGTTTTTTTGTTTTGTTTTTTTTTTTTTTTTTTTTTTTTTTCCTTTTGGTACAGAAATAAGGTAAAAATTCCGTTGGATTGAACTAATTTTTCAACTGATGTGTGTTCCCAGTTCTTGGATTTCTGGCTTTCTTTCATGGCCGTTGTCAGCACTTTTGTATACTTGGCTACTATCAGTGAAATTTCAAAGAGGACGATTCACACTGTCGTTGCAATCCTTACAGCCCTTATGGCTGAAACCGGGCCAACCAGGTTTAGTTCGTGTTTAGTCTTTTGGTTTTATAGTTCTTGAACTCGTGATCTTGGGATCTAACCTTGTTTCTTGTTTCTTTTTTTTTTTCAGGTCGTCCAACATTATAATCGTCGTGGCTATAGGGGCTGCGGGTCTGCTTGTCGGGTTGTTGATCGAGTTCTTTACCCGCCATAGGATGCTTTCGTTTCCAACAGAAATCAGTTTGAATCTGCTTCACAGGTATATCATCAAACCGGTCTTCACGAAAAATTTGCAGTCGTGATGGAACTTGCGCCACATTGTTTGCAGGTGGGAGGGTATAAAAACGTGGATTCATAATCTCATCAAGACACTTCTAAAGCGGTTCCGTTGGGGCTTTTTACTTGCTGGCTTCATGGCATTAGCAATGGCTGCAGTAAGCTGGAAGCTGGAAACCAGTGAAAGCTACTGGATTTGGCACAGGTCAGATAGCACAATATAACGTTGAGCATATGATAAAAATATAAATGCGTAGTCCGACTATTAGTTGAGACAGAACACATCTTTCAATCTGGTATTAAAGCTAGACCGAAAAAGTCATGGCTCCAACTATTAGTTTAACCTTTTAGTTGAAACAGAACATGTTTTTTACGGAGTAATTTACAATACACTCCCTCCGGTCTCCTTTCTCTCCCTCTCTAACACAATTGTTGCAATATTGACTTTGCAGTTTGTGGCACATTTCCATATACACGTCGTCTTTCCTTTTCCTCTGTTCGAAAGTAGATGTCCCGAATCCAAACTGCGAGACCGAACAACCTAGGGATGGGAGCTATGAGTTAACACGCCAAAACTCATTCACAGGAGAACAGCGAGACGACAGGTAGGACAACACTACACTTGAGTTTAGTTACACCATAGCACAGAGAAAACGCCACTGCTCAGATCAGACCAAATTAGCCGAAGGATTCTGTCAAATGAAGAAGATTGTTGTCTCAAACAAGGTAGACGGCTAGATAAACCAAAATAAAGGTATTCTTTGATGGGCTTATTGGATTGGTAAAATTGCAGCAGTCATTCTTCTTCTGCAAATGTTTATTGATAGGAAACGAAAACCGAGGAATGTAAATGTAGAATAGCAAAGGACCATGGCCATGGGAAGTGTACTATATAAATATGAAAAAAAAAATGTTTGTGAAAACAAAGAGTAGTGATAAGGTACCAAGATGTTTGATATGATGTATGTATATTGTTGTTTCATCAAGTGTAGAGGCAAGAATAGCTTCATATGAATACTACCATTCTGAGTGAGGACAAAGAGCTTTATGCAGCAACCTTTCAGTGCCATATATGGGCAATCCATGGATGATATTGTTGTCTATTCTTGAAACTTTTGAGGACTGAAGATTCAAGAATTGTTTAGAAACTGACATGTGGTGATATTGAGTCTGAGAGGTTAGAGCTGTTAAAACGGACGAGCCCGTGACGGATTGAGAAATACATAGAAGAAACTAATAATAATATTTTCAATGTTAATTTTCATTACGTTCCACTTATACATTATGTTATTCCTTAGACTCTTAGAGGGTATGCATTATTTTGTGATAAGTTTATTTTATCTGGGTGGTTTGTATTTCTACACATTTAAACTATTCATTTTTATCCCTCTAAGTTCGTTATTTGAATTCAGCCTAACAAATAAGAGTAAGATTTTATGAGCCAGAATAATTGGCTCACATCAAAGTCTCAATTTTTTACCAACATTTTTTGAAAAATAAATGCACTCACCCAAAAAAGAAAAAAAACTGTATTGGACCATTTATTGCCTTAACCACTCAATTCCAGGGATAGCTTATCCAAGCAGAAAATCCTATCCTCTACTCAATGTTTGGATTACAATTATAGGATATTATCTTATGGATTAGTTCACAGTCTGGTTCTGTTTGAAAACCATGTGCCCAGAATTTTGAATTTACTGGACTCCATTCATTCTCTATCCATTGCTACTCTTTGGATGCTATTCTTTATCCAAGTTGTTTCCATTCTTATTATTTTTAGGGAATTTTTACTGTTATTTTTCCCAATAATTTTTATATCAAGTACAACTATATATATTATTTAGATTATATCGAGTAATAGTAACACTTGTCTCTATAATATCCAATTTAACTGGTAGTATGTAGTAGAAAAGGAACCACATTCTAAAAAAATTAATATTTTAAAATTTGGTAATGATATCATAAAAATTTCATATATATTATAAATTGCTTCGCTCTAATTAAATAAGACATTTGATACGAATCTACTTTGTCTAATTGTCTCTTTAAAAAAATTGAGGGATTGTACTTGAATTTAATAAATTCTTCTACATCTTCCTATATTATTAAAAATATTATCATTTACCATTTATATCTTAACTGAGACTATTTGTACCCTTATAAATACATCTTTTCATCGTAGATTGACCAATAATAAGATTATTCTTATAACTATTGTTCTCATTTGGTATCAATAGACCAAACTATCCATGACTACAAACCCTACCAAGAAAAAAGAAAAAACCATCGCCCCTATATTTCTAACCTCCCTGCTGCCCTTGGCCAGTGACACCACTTCTTCGTCTCGCATCATCTTCGATATTATCTATCCAACCACAATCCCGATAAATGCCCTACAAATAGTTCATCACTTTATCTCCATTAAACATACTTCATCTATATCAAATTATATGCTATGGAAGACTCAACTTGTTCCATTTCTCTGTGGTCAAAATCTTAGTGGACACGTTGTAGCTGTGCTGCAAATGAGTGTTCTGTTGTAGTCGTGATTCAGATGGGATGAGTGTTTCGTTGTAATTGCGCTCTGGATGAGTGTTCTATTGTAGTTGCGCTTTGGACGAGTGTTCCATTATAGCCGATCATGTGATCAAAAATTTAGTCCGTCAAGATTCTTTTATTTTGTTCGTGGCAAAGTAGCATCAAAGAAACTACATTTTTACAAAAAGGCCAACTGTCAGACATCTTCACCAAATCACCACCCACAACAAAGTTAAAATGATCTAAGGGACGAGTTCATGCACACTAAAATTCATTTTATCTCTCCCCCTATATTATTAGGAATACTCTGTCTCCCTATATTATTAGTAGGAATATTACCATTTACCATTCTTATCTGAGACTCTTTGTATACTTATGAATATATATCTTCATCATGTATTTTATATCACCATGCATGTATTGATATGATCAATAATAAAATTATTCACATTCTCTTAAATACTCTGACTGGGGTGTGGAGAGTCTTTAGGGTTGGAGTTCAACCTTTTAAAAAGAATAATAAAATTATTCACATAACTCTTTCAAAAAAAAAAAAAAGAGTTAATTACCAAAATGGTCCCTTGACTATTACAAAATTACCAATTTAGTCCTCAACTATTTTTCTTACCTAATTAAGTCCTCGACTTTGTAAATGTTAACCAATTTGGTCCTCCGTTAAGTTTGACATCCAAAGTCTGTTAAATCTGAGGGTAATGAAGGAATTTTACATTGCTCTATGGGCAGCCCGGGCTGCCCACTTATTTATTATTATTATTTCCACTTATTTATTATTAATTGAAACAGAATATTTAATCATTAAATGCTTACTGTTTTGTTTTGAATGAAAAAAAAATCATGAATTGCTACACAGAGGCCCAGATCGAATATGAAGATGGAGCGTAATAAAGGAAAATTCCGAATGCTTTTTTTAAAAAATAAAAACTAAATCCCTAATTCTAAATCCCTAATTCTAAATCCCAAACAGATTCCAATCAATAGAGGTTCGAGGGATAACAGTTCGAAGAGCATCGAAGAAGATGAATGCTGAGGATTCACATTCAAAAGTTGATTCAAATTCGAGCCCAAGTTCACTTGCGGAAGAGAGGAAATTTTTGAAAGAAATGATGCAGAAATACTTGAAAATGGTGAAGCCATTGTACAGCCGTGCTAAGGCAGCTCTAGTAGTCTCCCCTCCTCCGCAGCCGACGGTCGAGAAAGGAAAAGCAGAAGCGGCAGAGGTAGCTGAGAAAACGACGGTTTTGAGCAACATCAAGAGTCTGAAGCAAGGGAACCTACCGCCGAGACTGCGAGTTGTCCGGAAACATTTAAGGAAAAGCCGATTGGTGCCGTCACCGGTGTTCTCGTCCGGTGACTTGTCATCACGACGACTCGCTGTTACAACAACAGGATGGAATGTTGCATATCTTCAACGACAACAATTACTCTCATCGCTATCGGCATACGAGCATATAAACGTTGCATATCTTGAGTTTGTTGTTGAAGTCGTGCCTTTCTCTACTATGGCGAAGAAAATGCAGAAATGGAGCAATGGACGTGAAAATGCAGAAATGGTTAGCATTTAGCTCAGCAAAGGAAATGCAGAAAAACTAGGGTTATTCTGGTTAAAAAAAAAGAGGGGAAAGGAACAAATAAAGTGAACTTCCAAAATTACCCTCAACTTAAACAAAAATTTGACAGCTGACCGGATGGAGGACCATATTGGTTAACATTTACAAAATTGAGGACTTTATTAGGTAAAAAAAATAATTGAGGACCAAATTGGTAATTTTGCGATAGTCAAGGGACCATTTTGGTAATTAACTCAAAAAAAAAATTCACATAACTATTGCTCTCATTTTTATTACCTTATTAGTTGGTAAATAGTCATAATGAGATATACGGAGTACTAAATTAGAGATTAATTATTTAAGCACTCGACTGAAGTTACCCATATTTATCATTATTATAATCTTCTTGTTGTGCTACTTTGCTAAAGATAAGGGCTGTACTCCATTAATATCACCATCATCGGACAAATCGTCTTACATCATCATCGTAGAGCACAACTCTAAAATATGCAATTATGAGCCACCTAATATGTTGGGAATTGTGTGGTGCTACATAGTAGTGCAATAATTTAACAATAACAAGTGTATGCATACTATTAGATTACTTTTGCCCTTTTTTTTTTTTTTTTAAACTTTCATTCAAGGATTTTTCTATTGTGTTATAATATTAAGTATAATTATGTATAATATACTTAATTATATAGATATTATTTTTTTAATGACAAAAAAAACTTGTAGTTAATTGTATAGGTATTATTTTTTTAGTGTAAAAAAAACTCGTAGCCACTATCTTGTATACTAACTTGCAAACTACACATGAGAGATAAATTATGTACTATAAAACCATGTATAATTGACTCGATCAAGAGAGTGCGGATAATAATCGAATTCATGACCTTTAGATATATAAATATTAGTAATATTAATGTTAATATTATTTAGTATAATAAATAATACGAAGTAATATATATTATTCGGGAAAATCGCAATTTTGGTCCCTCAATTGTTCCCAGATATGCAATGTAGTCTCTCATTGTCAATTATGCTAAATTGGTCCCTCAAATGTTTCAATTGTAGCCAATCTAGCCCTGAGGTCAAATTTGTCAGTAACTACTAACTAGTGTTAAAATCATGGACAATTTGGTAATTTCGCAATAACTTTGGTTACACACCAACCTCTTCCGTCCTCAGCCCCCTCTCTTAGACGAACAACAGCAAACGCCACCCATCAACAACAGCCAACAACGAAACTTTCTTCCAGCTTCTCACCTCGACGGTTCTTTTCGGCACGAGCAGACATCTCCGACGACAAACAGAGCAGGGACCTCTCTCTCTCGCTTTTTGTCGCGGCGGCAATCTTGGAAGAGTTCCGGCGAAGTAACGGACACGTCAACCAGCAGCTCCGGCGACTCTTTCTTCCAGGCAACGAGATTCCTTCAAGCGTCGCGGCGGAGTCCAGCAACAACAACTTAGTCTCCCCTGTTTCCAGCGATCTTCCTCCTTCCTCCAAGCGTGAAATCATCGGCGTAGGGGAGGAGAATCCTGCGCAACGCAAATCATCTAAAAATGTTCGCACAATTTGTTCGGCCGATTCAGGAGGCTCCGGTCAGGTATCCGCAACACATTCACCACCGCGGATCTTCTGTGCCGGCATTGAATCAGCATCCCGACCGCATCGGCTGCAACTATGGTTTCCATCAACGATGAAGACTGGGTTGCGTCGCGAACCTTCACAGATGTTGACCGATCATCAATCTGAGGACGGCGATCACTTTACAGAGGTCGCAAGAGAGGTTCGCTGCTACTCGTTCGTCGCCGGAACGAGAGTTGCCTCGTCTGCTCACCGCCGTAGCCATAGCTCGCCAGAGGAGCCGCTATCCCGACCTCTTGCCACCGTCAACAGAGCTCATGAAACTCCACCATGTCGCCGCCGATCTGCTGCTTGACAAGAGATAGACACCAAGAGATGAGAGAAAAAGGAGGTGAGGGGGCTGCTGGAGGAGACCCAGACCTCGCTGGATCTACTTGCTGCTCGCGTGTAAGAAAGAAGGATGGTAAAGAGGGTAAAGCGAAATTACCATTTTGTCTATAGATTTAACCCTGATTTGAGACAAATTTGACCGCAGGGCTAGATTGGCTACAATTGAAACATTTG